GATTAAAATTAAGATTTGCTTTCTTCTTTTCGCTATTAACATACATGTTGAAAGAAAAAGAATTGATAGTAAAAAAGTTTTTCTATCAAATATTAGATTTTTGCTATTTTTTGCTATTTGCTTTCAAATAAATTCTTGTTCAAAATTAACACAGTAAAATGCGAAAGTTAAAAGTCACACGAATCTATGTGTCTAATATTTTAAATTAATATAATGAAGATAATATTAAATTAATATCGCACAACTTTGATCAAAACTGTTTCCCGTGCATATAAATTCATTATAGTGTGAGACATCTCACTGCTATGCTAGGTGTAATGTATGTAATACCTATACACAGTAAGCATTCATGTTTAACGATTATTCTATAAAATATTTACATACCTATGAGTTACGCGATATGAAGCGATAATAGTCTAAACTACTATGGTAGATGAAAAAATAGAAAATAAAAAATTAAATTAAAAAATAATTAATACAATAAATTAAAGTAATAATTAATTATAGCACATTTAAATTTAATCGATTATGTGATTCAGTACACAAATGGCCAAAAGTGAAAACTGGTTACAGATTGAAAACTGTGAATTCTTTCTTTTTATATATATATATTGTATATATATATATATATATTAATATATTATAAAATATATCAATTAATTTGTTATAAATCTGGCGAATCTAAAAAGCATAAATGTGGCGAAATTTTAGGTTTTTTAAATTATACCCTAATATCACCTATATCGCTCCAAAAAAGAATTAATGTTTTAACAAAGCGTACACAAAGTTAAGATCAAGAGAACGGAATTTCACGTCCCTTCGTCAAACATTTGGTGTGCATAAATTGTCAATGCAATAGCATTGGACAATATTGATTTAGGATTGACAAAGTGGGCGCTGCAGAACTTTGTTGTCGAGGTTGTCCTTTCCGATTGAGATCTCAACGGCAAAATTAATGTATTACGCAACACGAATTAATTATGATTGAATAAAAACATTTTCTAATTATAAGTATATAAACGTGAGTATCAATTTTTAATGTCAATTAATAAAGATTTCTTTTGATTGTTAAGTGCTATTTTTATCAAAGCTTTTGACGACTTGAAACAATTAAATCAAACTCCACTAATTTTTTTAAAGAAACTTAGTATTTTTTCCCGGAAAAAATACGTTTTATACATAATTATATGTAATATATTTATATTTATATATAATTATATATAATTATAACTGAGGGATACAAATATATAAAGTTATATACATATAATTTTATATAATTTTATATAGTTATATAATTTGAAAAATGTTACGAAGATTTCAGTAAGGTTAGCTGTGTATAACTTTGAAGTGTTTGGAATTACTTATTAAGATTCTTAATATGTATTCACAGAGAACGCGTACTGTGCGGCAACTACCTCAAAGTACCGCATCCACTTTTTATATAATTATATATAAAACGTTTTTTCCCGGGAGATCTTTAAGTTTTCGTAAAAAAACTAGTGGAGACCGTTTAATTGTTTCAAGTTATCTAAAGTTTATTAAAAATAACATTTAATAATTTTTACATAATAATGTCGATTAATAAAGAAAATCTTAATTAATTGATATTATTTTATATAAATGTAATTTATAAAACATTTTTTCCCTGGCTATTAAGACGCAAAGAACAAGAATGTCCTACTTACAAAGTACAATCTGTTACGTCATTTATTGTAAATAAGTGACTTATTATTTACTCATTCCGTTCTTTAATCCGTTATATTTAATTTTTTGAAGTGGACGCGGCACTACTTTGAGATAGTTGCCGCACAATACGTTCTCTGTGAATAATAAAAATCTTATGAGTAATTCCAAACACTTCAAAGTTATACACAGCTAACTCTGTATTGAAACATTTTTCAAATAGAAAAAAAATAGCTCACACGACTCCAGTACATACATTAGTTTCAAATAGTATTCTTAGAATTTTAAACTCTTGAAATCTTAAATCGTAAAATTTTCCAAATTATAAGAATTATAATATTACGTTATATAGTATAATAGTATCTATATATATTTATACGAAAACGTAATTGATTAATATTGGTTTGTTTGTTGAAATTAATTTGCGTTGTATATGTTAAATTAGTGCAGCGTATATATGTGAGTATATCAGAATAACCATATAAGTATTGCAAATATGAACTAGAAATTGATTATGTATAAAATATGTCACACGTTTATATAAAATAGATTCCATGATAAAATGCAACTATCTTGACACTCACGTGTCAGGCGACATAGTATGATCATCAATATAAATTAGGTCAAAAGTCTTAACTTGAATATAGTAATTATATGGTAGCAAGTAAAATTATATTATAAGCGATAATAAAGTGAGAAATAAAAAGAAAACCGACAAAAAAGAGCCAATGACCAACAACGAAATTGCATTATGATTTGACTGAAAATAGGTGACCGATTCACACCTTGCCTTAAGCAAGGGTTGCGCGGTGCATCAGCAACACCATCCCCAGGGAAACACTCATTCTCTCCCCGACTGCGATTCACTCTGATTCGCGATCTCGATCCTCTTATTATACCGATTTCTGACTTGCATCGCAAGGAACGTGGGTGGATGTGCGTGAATGTTCGAGCGGGTTGAAGTTCTTCGTTCGCGAAAAATAATAAAGGGAAATAGTAAAGACAGCACCGTACCCGGATGGTTCCGGCTGGTCCGATTGATCCGTAGCGCCACTACTGCCATGCCTGCAGTCCTCGGCGAAGAGGAGAATATCTACTCACAGTTCTCTCGGTCGATAAGTAATGTTTGAAAGAAAAATTAAAGAAATTTATCTAAATATTTCATAAAAATTGTTATCCTAATTTAAATAAAAATATTCTAAATTATAAAATTATTAAATTCAAATTCAAATTTAGATTCTCTTAAAAGTCTGCAAGATAAAGCAATTCACAAAAACCTACTTTTACTCTTTTAATTTTAAAATTTTAAATAAAATCTAAATTAATTTTTGTTAACTATAATGTTTTTAACTTTAATCTTAATAAGAACTTATAAAAACGACTAATTTTTCAACTTTCTTATAATAACACTGTTGCAACAAAAATTAAAATTGTTGATAAAATATCTAGAATAATTTTAATTTCCTTGGAAATTTAAAAGTTCTTCTTGAAACAAGAATTGCAATTACGTGATGATTTTTCTGATCGGTGCTGCCACATGCAGCATATCCGCGAGTGTAAAGTAATAAAAATTATATTAGATTGTCTATAAATTTATTGTATAGAGCAATATTATACATAAATATACTCAAAACATTACCGCAAAATATTTACATCGGGCATTTTATTTGTGAAATTCATATTAAATGATTAAATCAAATCTCTCTCTCATAAGTATAAGTAATAAAAAAGAATAATATTAAGTTCAAAATTTTAAACATCATAATCAGACATGTTCATGCAATCTAGTTTTTAATTGTCTCTTAGTTTGCCCAACATAACTAGCATCGCAATAATAATATAATAAAATAATATAATAAAAACGTTTTCTGTGTTTTTTCGAAATGCGCTTGACAATGCATGATATATGTGATATTGATTGAAATTGTGATCGTATATTGTCCGTCGTACGATACAAATTATTATGACACGAGTCTCGTATATCAATAAATTGATGAATCGGTTTCTTTCACACTTGAATAGATATATATAGTTTTATTAATCTTAATTGACACGCAATTTGATCGTCTACATATATCTGTACGAAATACAATATATACATATATGTACATATATTAAGTTTTTACGTTACATGTACGTATATTATGTTTTTACTTAATAATGTTAATAAAAAGAACAACCTCCAATAATCTTGATTTTCATTAATGTTATCAAGATATCAATCCTGAATAATATTGAAGGGATTTTAGCCAACATTTTTCTATTTAAAGTAGTGTTTCTGAGATATTTGAATGGATTCTCTAAAATGGGACATCCTGTATATTTACCGCATCGTTTAAAACTTAATTTATAAATCTTTCTTTGATGATTGGTAATTTCGAGAATTGGATTCCAATGAATGCATGATATTTGCTTCAGAAAAATTCAAACATTATTTATCTATATGAATTCTGTATTCTATATTTTATTAGTAATATCTGAATTCTATATTACATTAATTGTTTATATTTGCATTGCTTTGAAATGGAAATTTTACTTTAAAAATAATTATATTGAATATCAGATATGTATCGTGAATTTTGTTCTAACTTTTTCTTTCTCTCCTCTCTCTTTCTCTCTCCTTTCTCTCTCTAGAATTCTTTTAGTTGATCATGGTTCTTCAATAATCCTTATGGACTGGCGCCATCTACAACGTTTAGAAATCTGACAATGAATGTACCGGTACCGATGAATGCTGGCTGCGATGTTGCGAAACGGGGGAACCCGGCCCGGCGCCGTGTAAAAGCCGTCACGTCGCTACGGCGTTCAGTTTGCATTTGTGCGCGCGCTTCGTTGGCAGGTAGCCGTGCATTTTCCTTGGAACTTTCCTTTGTGGAACAGTGAGTAATTCCCTTGATAAGAAAACGACCTGATTAACTGATATAGGTATACAAACGCGAAAGCATGGATAGGAAATAAGTTGAAATTTGAAAAATTTGCACCTTCAATTTGTATTCACAAATAAGATGGAGTATAAAGGAGTTAACACGGGATCTTTGATTCCAGTGATTCGCTTGTGGATGCTGAACAGCTGATTTGGTATTGTTATCTCAGACTAAAATTTTCGATCGCTTTGCAAGAAATAGCTGTATTCTATGAAGATTGATTATTCTACGCTAAAATAACGTCGTTGATTTTTTCTCGTCACCCAAAATTTTGTGCACATGCGTAATACAACGGTAAGCGATCAAATTATGATTCTGAATCAAATTTAAACTAAGAGGGTTCCGGGTTTGTGGAGTAGACTTATCGTGAACGTTTTATCGCACAGAGTTCATAAAACGGGGTATGGCGGCGATAGCTTTATTAGATTGTGAACAGTCTTAAGGAGAAAAGCAAGTACTGCGTTATATTCTGGTAAGTGTGTCATTCTCAGGATTGGATACAGATAGGCCGTGTTGAGATATATGTATTGTCAGTACTGAAAATCTGTAGTTCAGGTTACGTATATAATAGAAAAAAGTTCTTAAATCTACCAGAATTTTAAATTAATTGAAATTCTGGTAGATTTAATTAAAAGTACAAATCAGACAATTTATAAATGAATTTATTAAATATTTCAGTTGAGGTAACTAAATTACAATAATTAGAATTCTGAATGATATGGGGAATTTGTTTTGTTTGTACTCTTTGTGTTGGTACAATTAAAACACTTTTTCAATGTACATCATAAATTTTTAGTATTAGCAGTACATGTATATCGCAACATGGTTTTAGATAACTTATTTATTAAATAATACAAAATAAGGCCCAATAAGTATAAAACAATAGGAGTAATAATCAGGGCAATGAGCCAAAAACTAAACGCAATAGAAAATTTTCCAATTAAGTACACGGAAAGAATTATATCTTAAAATTTACCCTGAAAATATGATAATCGTGGGACAACGTTATATTTCGAAGAAATATTGATGTAAATCTCTCACATTCATTAATAAAACTACAATAAGATATAAAATAGGTAAGATAAATTTTACTGAAGTGCATGGCAAAAATCTTTAAATTTATTGTATTTTGTACTATAATTACTATATTTTCAGGGTAAATTTTAAGAAATCCTTCTCTCCGTGTATAATATAAATTTAAAATTTAATACAGACGTTTCGACTCCGATCGGGTCATCTTCAATGTAACAAAAATAAATTATAAATTTCAGTGTCGCTAATAGATAAATACAATGTCAGGAAATTATTGGCATCTTGAAATTATTTATTAAATATATGTATGCATACACTTTTTAAATGCTCGGTTTATCTAGATCTATGCAATATTCATTTGTGACACTGCAGACTTAGTTTTATTAATAAGAAATTAGTATTATTAACAGAATTGTGTTAGACAATTATATTTTAAATCAACATTATGTGAAGTATTCGAAGATCAATCACGATATGATTTGCAAAATCGCGCATCACGGTCGCAAGAGATCAGGCATTAATTATATTCATTTCGATTTTATTGCCGTCTATCAAGTAATCTACTTTAGACATGATACGTGCGTGTATGAGTTACAAAATAACCGTGCATTATTAATAAAATATGTGCAGGTATACACATATATAAATTATACATATATGCATATACATGTACATATAAAAAATTAGAAGTCAGAAATGATAGTAACAACTTCGATAATAATAACTAATAACCAATATTTCACAAAGTGGACACAGTAACCGAAAAATGATACTCATGAACATTTTTCGCATATTCGGAACTGAGAATGATGTAACAAGTTTGTTGAGCCGCGTAAATTAACTCTTATAAAGGATATGGTATGTGAGATCAAATTTTTCAACGATTGTTGTAACTTACGAATAATTAAATTATAATAAACAATTATATTAAAGTTACGTATAAAGTACACAAAAAAATTAAATAAGAAGAAGCTTACAAATAATATTTCATTTCTTCAGTTTTTAGAGAAAAAAGAAAGAGAGAAAATTGATCAAATCTTCGTTTAACAAGTGTTCATGAACACATTGGCTATAATCCATATTTAATGTCAGTCAGACAGAATTTTGATTTCATATTAATTTTTTTTTAACTTTAATAATTGATATATAAATGCTACTGTTTTTTTTACGTCTGCACTTTATTTAATATTGTTTAAAATGCTCTCAGAAGCGTAATGATATGGATTACTATAAACTATTCAATATTGATTTCTTATTTTAGATAGATCCGTTACTACATTGTTATTTAGAAACTTTTTATGCTGATATATTTGTTGCAAGAAATAACATATTTCTAATACTATGGCCGATCTCGCACTACGATATCGCTGTATTTGCTTAATTCCAAGATACTGTCGTTTCTGCAAATATTTTTTGCAGACATGACAGTAGCGTATATATGTCATCACTTCATTTTAAAGATAAAATTAATTATAACATTAAAGTTAAAAACAACATTAATCGATATTGATGTTATTAGAGGTTTTAATCAATCGATATCAGATGTAAATAATATAAAAGTAATTCTCCCCCTTCTCCAATATCAATCTGTTATTTTTATTATTTTTGAGAAATGGTCAATTCCTAATGATATATATGGTATTTTCAAATTGGTTTTATAAGTAATACACATGAGAAAAAATTTGGGTGAATTAATTGAAATTCTGGTTGACAAAAGACGAAACAGACATTCTAGCTAAATCTACTGAAATTCTAGTTGTAATAATCGAAATTCTGATTGATATAATCAGAATCTTCTGGATCATTCATTTTTAATCAGATATTTTTCTCAGTGTATAAATTTTTTCGATATTATCTCACCGTGCGGTTTCTAACAGCACGTTTCGTTGTGTAGAAGAAACGCTATGTTCCCACAGCGTTCAACCGTTGTATACTTCTTCACTGTCATATTCACCTTGTGTAAATGTAAAACTCAAGTACGTAGTGAAACATGTATTTCTCATATTTAATGTGTCGTATAATTTCTAGTCTAGCCAGCTCTTGAATAGTCTAAGTCCATCGCATGATGATTTATTAGTTTAACTTTACCTTTGATGTAACGTTGATTGTTATTTTATTATTACATTTACTACTTGAAACTTTTTCATATTTTCAAGGAGTATTCATATTGAGTAAAAATAAAATATGTATTAAATGAAATTATTAAAAATTTTTTTTATTCTATATGTTGCGCGCTCATTAAGTAACCAATATCAGATTATTATAAATCATCATTTTTATATTTTTTTGTGGTATAAAAGTTGAAATATGAATTGTGTAATATTAATAATTAAATTATATATAATTACATAATGAGTTAATTAACTATACGCTTGTTAATTTTTGATTACACATAGATAGTAATCTAAATTTCATGTATGTATTTATGTCTTTGTTATAACAATGATTTCATTTATACACTTTTATCTATTTTTTTATCCACTTTTATTTTTATATTTATTAACTTTAATATGAAAATTACTTTTATAGAAGCTCAAAAGTAAAACGTATCTAAATTTTTATTATAATCTGTACTCGTATCTGAATCAAATTACTTTAGTCTTGATGTATAGATGACATCGTGATTTATGGTGATTTATGGCTTTTTATTAAAAAGCAAATACAGCATTATTTGATAATTGCAATTATAAATATATCAGTGTGCTGTTTACGAAAGTTTCTATCTGTATAAAAACGTTAATTAAGTGAAGGACTCTTAATTTCAAAAATATCATTGTATAAAGTAAAAGAAACGCTTTATCACAAATATTCAAATAAAAGTACTAAGATGACGTTAATAAAATTATAAAATTTACTGTAGCAAACAACAAAATTTACTTGCATACATAAATGGGTCGATATTACACCTCGGGCTGAGATAGTTGAAATCAGTGGCAACTTCAAATTAAGATTACGATTTATCATTAGCTTTTCCCAGGTGTACCGGTACATTAATTTGAAGTTGTCACTGATTTCAATACAGGTTCCGACTATCTCAGCCCAAGATGTGAGCGTTTCCTGTTTTATTTATCTGACTCTTATTTTATCCTTTTATTTTATACAATTATATTTTCTATCTGTATGCTGATATCATAAACTTATTACTCATATGTCATTAAGTTAAATAAGAGATTAATCAAAATTTAACTGTGTAATAGAAAATCAATTTAAAAAATTACAAATCTAACTATTGGTTATCAATTTGCTGACAAATCATTTAATAATCATTTACTTACTATATACGTATAACAATAATGCGAATATACGCATATGGTGCAAACTATGATTTATTAAGAAAGAACAGCTAAGAAAATTTATTATTTTATTCGCAATATTTTTATAATAAAGAGATAAAAGATTTTTTGTTACTTTCATGCTAAATAAACATGCCGTCTTACTTACATTTCACGTTCATTATTATTGAATCGAGAATTTGATTTATTATTGTTGAAGTCAGCTTTAAGGCTTTTTTAACCGTGACAAATACTGGTATACTCTCTGGTCACGTAATGTGTGTAACATACGTAATCTGGGCGTGGATTAGAATACAAGATTCACCGCATGAAGACGCATTTCTTTCTAAACCTGCGTGTTGCATACTATTGTTAACCCTTGAACCTTAGCAATGATATTTGTTTGTTATTTGATACTTATGCAAATTCCGTTGAAAAATATACTTCTACCATTTTAAACATTACAAAAATCGACATAAAACTTTTTTCTCCTGTTTTTATACATATATTAAAAATTAACTAATTTAAAAAAATTTTATTAAAGATAATTGATTAGTGTAGGAGAGGGCAGTCTCTTTATACCATTAATTCTTCAACAATTGACATTATGACAGTTTCAAATTGCATTTGCGTGGCTTTGAGTTTCAACAGCATGATCATTCTTTGAGATTCTCTTCTATATCATTTTATATTAACGCAGCTAGTCTGTTTGAAACAAGCGATAGAAAGTCTCGGTAACGAGGAGTGGCAGGATGAAGAACGATTCGACCGTGAACTATAAATTTTGATTAAACACAATCGGACATAGACTTCGTTCGAAGAGCGCGCTTTCAGCGCATTACATCATTTTATTCTTCTTTTATGTCGTTTGTTTTATGTTTAATGAACAATAAAGATAGAATGACACAATATCGCTGATAATATAATCATAGATAATATGAAGGTGATGTCCCGAACAGATGGGTTGAGTCGTTTGGTGAATTGCAGAATAAATTGCCGAATTGTGCAATACCTTTCACGTATGTTAATCGTAAATATTACAAAAAAGCGCGCGACGGAATTCTCCACGATTCTATGATAACAGTTTTTGCTTTAATACACTTTGTCACGAAATCATTAATGTACATGCATTTAATTACCTTTTCTTACATCAGAATTTCAGTTCACA